GGCCGAGGTTCCCGCACCAGGACCGGGGGGCGGGAGACAGGCGCGTTTCCTTCCTCTAGTGCGTGAGTGAAACGGTCTCCTTGAAATCTGCGCGCCGCCGGGAAAGGGGCTTTCCAGAACGGTGTTTTAATTAAATATCGCTCTTAAACTTTTTCCACCACAAATGACGTCCACCCTCTTCCCACGCCTGGCCCTAGAGAGAGGGGGAAAACTAAGGCCGAAAGAATTTAGGATGCACCCCCTGGGGTTGTTATACCAAGGTGAGAAGTGCTAGTTAAAGTGCTTTAGCTGTAATAGTCGAAGACTAATAAGCAAAGCAGAGGTGTTGGAAAGGGGTGGTATACTGTGATAGTTAGAAGAAAACAAGCTTTTCGGTGCCATCTGTTTCTTACAGGCAGATTTTACTTTAATATAAACGAGCATAGGCATTGGTAGGTGACTGCTTTCTTGACGTATACGTATGAAAAGGAAACAATGTGATGCTAGTGGTTTCCTCTGAGGCCTGGTTTTATTTTGCAATGTGTGATACTGCGTTACAGGTATTTCTCTTATTTTGAACTGTACTAGCGATGTTTGATATGGCAAATTCTGAGATAAGCCTTGTACTGTAGAGAAACTTAGAAAGTTATAGGCCGTTTGTTTACTCGAGTTTGCTGTGGATCACTTGCAGAAGTTCAATTTGGACGGAAAACAGCAAAAACATACGTATCCTAAAGGTGTCTCACTAGTTTGTTTAAGCACCGCTTTGTACCCACGTTTGTGAATATTTCTTCCTCTACAGAATTTCCCCATCAGTGTACTAAGAAAAAACGATAATGTTGGTAGATGAATATTATTTGATAACCCAAGTGTTATTTAGAACAGGGAAAGCGTTAATTAATTCTCTGTAGTACAGTAGCTACAATTTTTGCTTATGTGTTACATGTTATATCAACCTTCAAGTTATGTAAATACAATTTTCCCCAACAGCAAAAAGATCTGGTATTCGTGCCAGTGTTAACATCGATGGGAGCTTCAAGACAGATAGGCTTTACAGACTTTCAGCACTTTTTTTCTTGCCGTATCAGCTAAAAGTCATTTGAGCTTCTTTGTACCGGAATAGGTGATGAACAGATGTAGCTAGTTTCCTGAAACTTCATGCAGACTTCGTATGAAGACTGAGTGTTGGTCACTGTCTTATAAAAGTGAGGCGATCTAGCTGATTCTTTCAAGTATTTTCTTCCTTCCTCTCACTCCCACCTTCAAATTTCTTTCTGATACATACTTTTGTGTTCGTGCTCGTGTTGCTTGTGCTTTGTGTGGGGACAATTTAATATCTTTTGGGAGCTTACCTAACTTCAGATATTTTACTGTGTTTTTGCCGTTCTCAGTATACACTATAAGAAAGTCTAACTTTTTTCATAAAAGTACATTTGTTGTCAGAACAAAATAAAGGAGTTGTGATGTTGGGCTTTTGACAAAATTTCTTATGTTCAGAAAGGTTTACAGTTCATAATTTAATTACCTTTATTGTGGAGTAATTGCTATGCCAGTAATTTTTGATGAATACTTACAGAGAGAGGGGAAATCCGGTGAAACATGCTACTGGTTTTTTCCTCTATGGCAAGAAGTGTACAGTCTTAATAAAGGCTGTAATTAAGCCCTTTCTTTGTGTTAGGAAGAAAAACAATAAAGGATTTACTGAAAAGGAATGCTTCCTTAGAAAAAAGAAAGTATTGAGTAAAGTGAAGTCTTTGATGCTCCATGCACGGTATTCTAACTCATTTCATGTTTGTCTTAACTAGCATTCACTGTTAGTATGCCTTCTTCTCACAGGTTGCTTTGTCCCAAACGTTTGAACTTTAGTACTAGTGATTAGGGAAAACCAAGTCAGCTGATTTGGAAATCGTCCTGTACCAGTTTCCCTCATATTTTTACTAAATACACTTCAATCTTTATTTTCGTCAATCCTTATTTTCATTATTTTCTCGTGTGCCCTGAGCAGTGAATGCTAAATTGAGGTGCCATATTTTTGAACAAGTCAGTATATAGCGTCTAGAATGGGACTAAAACTTAGTTGCCTGGGATTAAACAGAAGGAGACTAATGTTTTAACGCACAATAGCCTTTGTTTATTGATGAGTACGTATTTATATACAAATGGCATCCTGAAAATTTCACATTTGACTTTTAAACTAATGTAGGAATTGTGGAGCAAATAACTCAAATGTCTTCACATTTTCCAAAAAAGGGTATAGAAGACACGAGAAGTGTCACAAGCTGAAGTATACAAAAGCCGTGTGCGTACTACACAGCTAATGAATTTGAAGTCATTTGAGTTGCTGTAGACCAGAATCTAAGTTTTAAAGAGTTTTCTGTGAGATCAGAGAATCTGAGTGCTTGCAAATGTTTGTGTAGATTTAAGTTTCTTGCACTAACTAGAATAAAGTAGTGGAGTTCTGGAATCTGTGCAATGATTGCATGTATTTGATTAAATTATCACATCTTTGAAATGACATGTGTTCTAGTCTCACAGACATACAAGGTATGCAAGGAAATGACATGCTGAAAATTTGAGTAGGCTTGGGAGGTGAGCACTGTGAGGAGTAAGGTAGGAGTGTCATGGACATGGTTCACTATCTCTTGCGCTCCTGCTCAAGAGAAGCAGGAAGGGAATCACATTACACTTGCTGTACTGTAGTATTTTTTCTTAAAGTTGTGAGAAGGAGAACAAAACATTTGAGTATGCTGAGAAGAAGAACACTTGAGTTGTATAGGTTAATACTCACTTTTTAATGTTACTTAGCTATATTTAACCTTGTAGATTTAAATATTCTAAGAACTTGTGAAAATTTTCACTTCCCTAATTTCTAGCCAAAACTTTGTTTTCTGCAGCAACAGCTTCCTTTGCAGACGGTTTGGAAAGCTCTCTTCTGTGTCAAATATTTTTTATAATTTTATTGTGTTTGCCCTGTTTGATAGAAAGTGACGTATCCTTTTTTTGCACTATTTCTCTTAATTAAGGCAATATTAACTAATTTTTTTTTTTTTTTTAAGGAAGCATTACAGGAAAGCAAGAGTACCTGATATATGTGCTTTTTGAGAGTGGAGGCAGGAAGCTGAGCTATCTAACTTGTAATGCCACATAAGCTTCTTGAAGGGGAAACGGAATGGAGAATATGCTTCGAACAAAAGATTAGTGGTTCTTTGCATGGGTCTGGTTCTAGTGTTCAGAAAATTTAGATTGCTCTCTTGCATTAGTGTGTTCTTGGTGAAGTCGGACGGAAGCAGGTATAAATATAGTAAAGTACCTAAAATATGGGTAGGTACCAGCTACCTGGTGTTTTCTTCATATTGCCTTAACAAACATTGTCCTCTGCATTATTTTCATTATACAGAAGTGTTTTGCAATATTATAAAATAGTTCCGAAGAAAAAAAATTGTGATAAGAGGACTTATCATAATGTGACTTGAGTTTCCTGTTTCTAACCTATTATTTAATACTTAAGAGGACCTAATTGCTGATCTTTTTAAAAGTTGAATGTAGAGTGTTATTTTTGTGCAGAAAGAATTCCTTCCGCTCCTTTTGGAGCTGTAACTTGTGTATGGCAGAGATTTCTTCATCCTTCATCTGCTGTTGTTCCCATTCTAATTTATTTTCTCTCTGTATTTTTTTTCTTTTAAGATGGTGAGTAGCAAATCATATTTCTATCAAAAAACGTCAAATGTGCAGCTGCATGGTTGTTTCTGTACCAGCTTTTCAGAGTGTTTGTTCCACTTACCTTTTTATAAACTCATAAGCCAATAATATAGTTGACTGAAGAAAGTAGGCTGTGGCTTATGTCGGATCATGTTAATGCTGTCTCAGTCAACTTGAGTATAGTTGCTGGGAGGAAGACGCTTTTCACAAAATAACCATTTCTAATACAGTATGTGCTAATCTTCATAATATGTGGGGACACATTCAACACTACTTGATCCAGAAAAGGAACCAAGAGGTGCTAACAGGCGATTATTGCTTTTCTAGGTTTCTCAGTTTGCCCAGCTTTCCTATTCTCTTTCTTTCTTTCTTTCTTTCTTTCCCTTTTCTTTTCACATAGAGCCCTATGATCTTTCCGTGCTCTCCACTGTCTGTATCCTGTCAGGATTAAATCTGTCTTGCTAATACTATTCATGGTTCTCGTATCATTTCAGAAAAATATAAAAAGTGCTTTGTTATGTCAGAATAGAAATCGAATGAAACCAAACTCAGTCCTGTGCTTACACATCAAATGCATCATAAAATGAAGTATATAAACGTTTTTCTTAAAAGTAGGTAGATTTTCTGCATTTTCTGCTTTTAGCGTTAGAATGTTAAAGTTTTTTGTTTTACTTTTTAGACAAAACTTGGATTCTGGAATAGCAATATTGATTTATTACTTACTCGTTTATGTTCATTTGGGCTTAAACTGAGGAGTAATGTTGGCATACTTCTTCTTCTCTGTTATTTATCCTTATAATGAATGGTTATATTAATCTTCACACCAATTTTATTTTGCTAAGCTGAGTAAGCAAGACTTCAATTCTTCTTTCATACAACAGACTGCTTGGTCATATCAGTAGCTCCTTTCCATAATTCTTTGAATTTGAACTTCTCATCCTTGAAGACAGGTAGTTAGAATTGTATATGGTATTCCAGACAAGTTGTCACCTTTGTATAGTACAACAGCAATAATATTTCCCTATATCTATGCCAGATACTATACTTAAGTCCTTGGTTTGCATTTTCCTTTTTTTTCCCCTCCCAGAGCTGCATCAGCTTATAGTTGACCATAGGATGGCTAAGACTTCCAGAGGACAAGCCCTGATGACATAAAATAAATTTGTATTTATCCCTGCATGTAGGGATCTTGCATTTTATATTTCATTTCATCTAGCTTCTAGTATGCCATTTTTTTTAAGACTGTTCACTTCTTTATGTGATACTCTGTTCTCCTTTTGTTGCAGTGCCTTCCGCATTTGCCCCATCTAAACATGCCTCCTTTTCCTGGCAGCATTGTCAAAAAATAAGTTTGATAATATTTGTGGAGGAACTTCACTGGTTACTGTTTTCCAGCCCCATTGTTTCATTTTTGCAGTGTTATATGGCATTCTTTTTAAAAGTTTCTCTTTTGTTCTAAGATCATCTTCTTATCACATTTATTTAACCTCAGATGATTTACTGAATCCAGATTAAATTTAGTTTGCGTCCTTGGTGAATACCAAGGAAAGGACTGATTCATTTTTGGGGTATTGGTTTAGTCTAGCATGTTGTAACTCTGCTAGGCCTTAACCGCATTTTTATCCTTTTTTCTTTTGCATTTCGTATACTTGAATTCAGACCACTGAACCTGATCACGTTTTTCTTCCTTACGTGTAACTACTGTATTTTTTCTCTAATCATACGATAGCACATTCCATTTGTTTTAGTTAAAATGCCAATTGGATTTGCAATTTTTTGACAGCTGTAAGATTTTGGTGTAGGAATTATTTCAGTGGCACAACTTTAATGTATCAGTCCCCTCAAATTATGCTTTCACCTTGGAAGGTGTTAATATGTTCTTATTCCCAGTAACTAGCCTATCTTTATTGCTATGTTCAGTGGCACTATTTGTATCAAAAACTCAGGCATATTTTATCTTGTCTCTGTTACCTCTACAAAATGGTATCAGTTCTTTTGTTCTTTTCTCTTTAAAAGAGTTGTGAAACTCCTTATTTTTAATAGAGTATGGGGAAGGGCTTTGTGGCTAGAGAAAGGGGTGGCACAAGTGATCCTCTCCTGTGAAGCAGAAGTAATAAAGTTTCTGAGCAACCAATACTTGCCCATAGGATGCTTGATTTCCATTTACAAAACCTGTTGAAACAGGAGAAAAGATCACATCGGTTTTGTGCTGCTACTGATCCTGCACCTGAGTGTGCAGCAACTGAACGTGACGCCCTTGGACTTCCTGGAATTAATGAAAATGGCCATTGCCTTTAACATTTAATATTAGGGTGTCTGTATGTCAGTTCACACACATTACCTCTGAAAGGGCATTGCTGAATGTGCTTTACGTTCAGAAACTTTTCACCTGGAAGAGTACGGGTGAAGGTTTGCCCAGTGTGAGTGAGAAATGAAAGTATTTTTATAAAAGTTTTCTATAAGACGGGGACAATTCTTAAAGACAAAAACAATGTAGATGGAGAAGGCTGTTTGCTCAGTTTTCAGAAAATTGAAGACTGTTGTTTTATCTCGTCATGCATATGTAGTTTGGTTAAGTTTGCAGAGTGAAGTGTCGTCTTGTGAAAGCCTGCAAAAAACATTCAGAATGTTTCATATTTGCTTATATGGAAAAGTCCTGAAAAAAGGGAGGTGGAACAAATGAACGTGCCCCAGTCCAAACTACTTTTGAGAAGTAAAACTTCTCAAAGAGCTGCATCTTCTGAAGAGCTGCGTCTTTGATTTTGCTCAGCAATATCTGTAAAACTTTTCCTCCAAATGCTGGAGGAAAAACTTTATCTTTCGGCTCCCTCCTCAACTTGCTTGCGTTTTGGGCTTTTACCGCAAACGTGGGAGGTGGGGGAGACAGTGGTCTCTATATTTCTCTCTCTCTCACTCGCACTCGTGTACCGAGGTCCTTTTCTGTAGTGAGTAATTCCAGTTCATGCCTCTGCTGTTGCTCATCGCTTTTCTAAGCAATGGCATGAATTGTCAGAATTCTTAACAGTCTCATTGCTGCCCTCAGCCCTGAATGCCAGCTAGGAAACCAACCAGAATCACTAGGGGTGTTTTCCTGAATCTGTGGGCATACAACAGTACTTCATTGATCTATACTGGGTTAATGATTGGAGAGTAGCCGTTGACGTGAAACGAACTTTAGGATGGCAATTGAGTGGATGGAATTTCTATTCCAAAGTTTTCTTTTTCACGACAAAAGGACAGTTTCAGTGTGAAGAAATATATACTGTATCTGAACATACTAGATATGTTTTGCAGATAAGTGCTTTCATCTCTATAACTCTTAGGATATGTTTACAAGAGGAAGTATGTATGTATCATGGGTGTGTGACTTTATAAGCTGTGGCAACTCCTGGTAAATTTACCCTGTGAACGCTTATGTTAAATGTGTGAAGTAGATTATCTAGGTGATAATGATGTGCCAAAATCGGGAAGTTTCAATCTTTTGGAAAGGATACGTTGGAGGGCCAGGTAGTGGGAGCTGGCAAATGTTCTCCACGGAAAGCAGAATGCTGCCCAACATCAGCAAACTTTTTTTTTTTTTTTGTTTAACTGAGAGGTCGTTGAGTTCAGCACTGCTACCTCTCTCAAATGTTTATCTGCAGTTATCAGGACTCTTAACTGTATCATATGGTGCGTTCTCCAAAATCTATTACATGTTTCTAAAGCCTGAATATATATTCATTGAGAGGAACACTGGTGCATTTGTATGATGAACATATCAGATCTGTGTATTCATCCTTTTGGTATGCCTCATCTATTACATTAAATAGTATACTTTGAAAGTGATTGCTACGAACAGCAACAATGCTGACTAAGTCCACTCTGGGGACTTGATACAAAGTGGATGGTAATTCTGTAAAATCACAGAATAGAAGAGGCTGAGAGGGACCCCTGGAGAGTCAGTTCCCTCCCCACACCCCTGACTGGAAGTAGGGTCAACTAGGATCGTTTGGCTAGGATCTTTTCCAGCTGAGTTTTCAATACAACCAAGGAACATCTCTGGTCAACCTGTTCCAGTGTTCATCTGCTTTCACAGAAGAAGTGTTTTTTCTTTGAATGGAATGTCTTATATTTCAATATCTGCCTATTGCATCTTGTCCTGTCACTGGATACCACCGAGAAAGAGTCTGGCTCAGTCATCTTTACTCCCCCTTATTAGATATTTACACATTGATAAGATTTCCCCCCCCCCCCGGGGCCTTCTCTTCCGCAGGCTAAATATTCCCAGTTCTCTCAGCCTCTCCTCATGTGAGAGATTCTCCAATCCCCTAATTGTCTTTGTGGCCTTTCACTGGACTTGCTGCAGTATGTCTATGTCTGTCTTGTAGTGGGGAGCCCAGAACAGCACATGCACTCCAGGTGTCTCACCAGTGCTGAGGAGAAGGATCGCTTCCTCGTCCTGCTGACAATGCTCTTCCTAATGCAACCTAGGATACCGCTGGCTGCCTTCGCTGCAAGGGCATGCTCTTGGCTCATGTTCAACTTGTCCACCAGCACCCTCAGGTCTTTTTAGGAAAAAGCTGCTCTCCAGCTAGTTGGCCCCCAGCCTGTACTGGTGCATGGGGTTAGTCCTTCCCCAAGCGCAGGACTTTGTATTTCTCTTTGAACTTCACGAGACTCCTGTTTACCCATTTCTCCAGCCTGTCATGGTCCATCTGAAAAGGCAGCACAACCATCTAGTGTATCAGACACTCCTTGATTTACGTCATGATAAACTGGTCTCTGACTCCTTTTCCTCTGTAGATAAGCTGCATAGTCTCTTAATAGTACTCTTTTGCAGTACATACTTTCTGTGGCAAAACTTGCCATCCCCCATTGTCCCCCTCCCAGCCCATTACCATAGTAGACGGTGTCTGCAGTAAAAAAAAGTCTTCAGGCTCTAGGCATAACTGGCTTTATGGTCGAGGACCTTAAAAAAGCTTAAAGGAACGATTTCTTTACAAAGTAAGCTAAGGATTAGATTTTAGAAATATCAGAATATAATGAACTGGTAAGGATCTCTGGGTAGCGAAGATAAATTTCAAAGCCTAATGCTTAAGTGTTCATCCACATTGCATGTTGTGTATTATCGTATTTTTCCTTACTATTATAAAGGCTAATAACTGAAGCTGGCTTAAGAAATCATCGTACTACTGACTGAAAGCTTTGCCACTTGTGTTTTTTCAGACGCTCCTATTGCAAAAGCTGCTGTTGCAAAGAAATAAAAATTTTTATAAGAGAATGGGTAAGTTAATTTTCTTAGAACTTTTTTTGTTTATTATAATGTGAAACATGTGGTAGCCTCTTATATTGGTAGAGGAGGTGGATTGTAAGACTCTAAATGTTGATCATGTCACTGTTTTTCTTGTAGCTTCAAATTTATTACAGAATTACTACAGTGTGCAAATACTACATTCCACAATACACACTTTATTTGCTTTTCTCCTCATATTGCAGGTACTGGTTATGTGGAAAAATAATTCAGGAATGAGAGAAAGCTTTAATTTAAATAGTTTTTAGGAGGGATTTCTCATGTGAACGTTGATTTATTGAAAGGCTTATTCAAAACACATCTATTTTACAATAAATTTCATTTTACTTAATGTGTATAACACTGAAAATGTACATGCTAAAATAGGTTGTTACCTTTAGGTTCTGTAACACTAAACTTTCTAGTGGACTAGAAAATTCCATTATATGCTCTCAAATATTTTTAATTGCTTGCTAAGGCCAACCGGTTTAATTCT